CAACAATATCAATAATATTGCATGCAAGCAAAATCTTGCTGAAGATTATGAAAACAATCAACAGAGAACTGCCAGAAATACAACTAGGTTTAGAAGAGGCTATGATACTAGGAATATCATTGCTGATGTCAGATGTCAGGATAAGGCTGTTGTTCATAGGTCACTATGAGTTGGAATGACAACACATAACAACAACAATAACTAGAGATTTTGAATATTTTCTCATGTGTTTTTGGTCATCTGGCTTTCATCTTTGGTGAAATGTCTTTATATATCTTGTGCCCGTTTTATGATTGAATTGTTTCTTTTTCTTGTTAAGATGTATTCTATAAATTCTTGATATGAGTCCATTATCAAATATGTCATTGCCAAATATTTTTCCCAGCCTATGTTCTTCCTGTTACTGAAGGTTTTTGATATTCATAAGGATTTGATTCTTAGAAGGTCTCACTCATCTATTTTATTCTTCCCTGACTGTAGCTTTTTCATTATGTGTCAAAGTGTATTCATATCATAGATTGTCTTTTCTAGTTGCTTTTAGATTTTTCTTCTATGAACTTTATGGTCTTTGGTTTTATTCGTAGGTCCCTGATTCACTTGGAGCTAATTTTTGTGTATGATGTGAGACATGGACCTTGCTTCAGTTTTCTGCAGATGATTGTCCAATTTTACTAGCACCATTTGTTAAAGAGGCTGTCATTTCCCTATTTAATTGATTTCATCTCCTTATTGAATACAAATTGAGCATAGCAGTTGACTTCTGGGTTCTTGATTCTATTCCATCTATCTATGTCTCTGTCACTATAACAGTACCATGTTGTCTTGATTACTGTGGCTGTGTAGTAGATTTTGAGATCAGGGAGTGTGATGTATCAGACCTTGTTTTTCTTTGTCAGTGGTGCTTTGCTTATTCAAACCTCTTTCCTTTCTAGATTAATTTGGAAATTGCCTTTTCCATATCTTTAAACAATAACTTCAATATCCATACTGGGAATTCATTGAACTTATAGATTGCTTTTGGTATAATTGTCATTTTCATGATATTATGTCTTCTATTCTTGAGCATGGTATATTCTTCCATTTCTCTAGATATCTTTATATTTTTTTTAGTAGTGCTTTGTAATTTTCTTTATATAACTCTCTTGTGTGTCTAGTTAGGCTTGTTTTAAGTATTTCATCTTGTGGTTAGCTACAGAAATTTATATCCTTTTTCTTATTTTATTTTCTATGTTCTTTTTGCTACTGCAGAGAAATCCTACTGATTTTTGTGTGTTGAACTTGTAGCCTGCTGTTTTACTAAATTGGCCTACTATGTCCAACAGTTTACGTGCAGATTCTTCAGTGTTTCCAAGTATATTTTCAAGTCATGTGTATGTAGAGATAGTTTTATATCCTCTTTGCAAATTTAGATACTTCTTATTTTATTTTCTTGTCTTATTGCTCTCACCAGGTCTTCCAATACAATATTAAGTAAGAAGTAATGATAGTGGGAATCCTTGCCTGGTCCCCATTTTGTTTTGTTTTTAAATTATATTTTATTAATTTTAATGAATATTTACAGAGATTTTGGACTGGTCCCTGTTTTAAAGGGTAATGTCTTTAATCTTTCCCCAATGATGTTGGTTGTTGGCTTAAAATAAATGCTTTTAGTTATGTTTATGAAATTCTCCTCTGTTCCTAGTTTGTTGAGTATACTTCTCAGGAATGTGTGTTGGATTTTGTCAAAAAACTTTTCAGCACTGATTGAGATGATCGTATTTATTTTGTTGATGTGATGGATTACATTTATGGTTTTCTTATGATGAACCATCTTTGCATGCCTATTATAGACCACATTTGGTCATGACTTATTAGTCTTTTTGAAATGCTGTTGGATTCTATTGATAAGGAATTTATTAAGGATTTTTGTGTCTTTGTTCATAAGAGATAATGGTTAAAACTTTTCTAATTATGATACATTCACATGATGAAATACTATGCAGCATGCAGGAACAATGGTTTTGTAAATCATTACCAAACTTGGGAGGGACTGGAGAGCATTATGCTAAGTGAACTAACTCAGTCCCATAAGAACAAATACTCTATAAGGCAAGTATGGTAGAATATGTATGAGGATCCAAGGGTGTGGGGGAACAGAGGAATGAGGATGGATGGGGAATGGGGGTATGCATTCTTCATAGATGATATTGGTTTTCATATTTCTTTTAATTGTGATGTTAGCAAAAGTATACAGAAAAGTTTGGTTTTCATTCATTCATTATTGCTTATTTTCTTCCCTCCTCTCCCTTCCCCCCCAGTTCACTTTCTTTTTTAAAAATATCCATTCATTGTTGCACAATTTCCTCCATCCACCTCTTTCCCTCTCTCTCCCATAGTTCACTTTCTTTTTAAAAAATATTCATCCATTGTTCGACAATTTCCTTCCCCGCCTCTTTCCCCCAGTCCTCTTTGCACTGTACCTCTTTTTCTGGACCGTTGTCTTAATGCCTAATCATATATTCCTTTTTTACAGTTCTCTTCCTCATCTGTTCCATACAGTGTTTGTTATCTATCCACTGATATTCTTGACATCCTCCACAGCTCATCTGGCCTTTTTCACTGATATATTATTAAAGTATAGGGTTTTCATAAAGTTCTACTGTTATCCTTTTATATTTTAGTTAGTATTATTGTGATGTGCTCATTTAATTTTTATTCAGATTATTTGTGTTTTTCTTTATTTACTTTTATTAAGTTTGCAAGTCATTTATCTATCTTATTGACCTTTTTAAAAAATCAGCTCCTAGTCTTATTGATAATTTCATTTGTTTTCAATTCCATTTATTTACTCTCTAATTTCTATAATTATAAAAATCATGCATTTATTATTAAATATTAAATCAACATTGCATTTATGTTGTAAATCTCAATTGGTGTTGGCATAATAATCCTTTTAGAAATCTATTGGATTCAATTAATTAACAAAATTTTGTTTATAACATTTGTGTATGGGCTCAGGTGCATTGATTTTGGTTTATGCCATCAAGTTGGAACTGATTAGTAGCTGACCTTCCAACAAGTTTTCATATACTGTAAATTGCCTTGGAGAAGATTTTTTATCTTTCTCCCACAGAAAAGCTTGTGAACTTGAACTGTGTTCCTTTGGCTTGACAGTGCAACTGCATTCACTACCATAGGCTGTGTGGCCATGCATTGTTACAGGTAAACTAAGATACATGGATCATATTAAACCTGAGACCTATTTTCTGAGGCACAGGAACTAAGAAAAGGGTTTTTTCTGTTTTAAATTTTGAGAGAAAGGAAGGCTGATATTGAAATGGAGATAAAACTTAAAATAAGGCAGTCAAAGGGCTCATCATATAGTAGAGGACTCTGAGAAGAGGTCTGAGGTCTGATAGCATCAAACATATATAAAGGAATATTTTTCCAAACAAGAGTAATCACTCTGAGCAGAATCTTATTTGTAACTTAATGAACAACACAGAGGCCAGTCTGAGAAGACAGACTCAATGGAAAAGCAGTAAGAGAGAAGATGAAAAAGGCACCATTAGGTAGGGCCAATGTACAGCCAAACTTTTAACTCTGAATGGATAAAAAGTGACTAAAGTGTTTTGAATGGGAAAGTGGTATCATGTACTTTATGCACTAGAGGTAAAGGATCATTTAGATTACTGTATTGACACTAGAATCAGGGAGAGAAATCAAAGGTAAGGAAACTAAGAAGGTATAATAGGAATCCAGATGAGCTTTTACTATGATTTGTAGCAGAGATACTGAGAAGTTGTAAAAGCCTATGTAAAACTTAAAGGTTTTAAACATAGAATGGATGTTGGTGTAAAATGGAAAAAAGGGAGGAACCAAGGGCAATTCCTAGGCTTCTCCCTTGAGCAACTGCAAGAATAGGCAAGACAAAGGAAGATACACTTAGAGTAGGGAATATTTTTGGAGTTTAGTTTGGAATATATTAAGTTCGAGTTGTTCACACACTCTCAGAAGGAAATGGTCATTTAATAAACAATATGTTCTGAAAGTCCTAAATGATGCTTGACTTGGGAAAGTTTACAAAAAATGTAGCCTTTAATATTGTAAATCTATTTTTTAAAAGATTTAATCTTTTATAATGATATTAAGTGAACAATGCTATCTGGGCAGACTCTGTTTCAGATATCGTCATTCTGTCTGTCTGTCTCTCTCTCTCTCTCTCCCCCCCCCCAACCTCACCACCTTCTCTAATTGTTATCAATTTGGAACTGACTCATAGCTACCCTCCATCAGGCCTGCAAATCTGTAAATCCCATGGAAGGAGATTGCTCACCTTTCTTTTCCCCTGATGCCAGGTAGGTTCTCACTGCCAGAGAAGCCCCACATTTTTGTTAGTATCACAATTTCCTATACAACAGAACTCTCCAATGAATTGCAATTTAAATAAATTGTACATTTACATTTCAGTGAATAAGCAGGCTAAGCAAAAGGAAATATTTGTATAAACTTTATTTTAAAATGGGGAAATTCCACATAAAATCTTTGTCATTTTATTTATTTACCCAAAAGTGCCAAGTCAATTATAATTAAAAGGAGTAGTTCACATCTTATCAGTGAGGGTCATTTTATCTTCTTATCTTCCTCCTGTAACATAAACAAATACATGTTAAATATTAATCACATCAATTATTTAATTAAATTAGGTAGTAACTGGTTCTATTTTTTCATGTCTGAGGAATATTAGACACAGAAGGAAAATTTCCTTTGGTATTTGCTGAAACTTTCTAAATACTTCAAAAAATTTAGCTAGTTCCATTGTTAATGTTGTTTGTTCTAAATTTTTTTCTAATAATTTTGTGTTCTAATATTTTTAAATGACATTTTTGTCTAATTAAATTTATTTTTTTTAAAAAAACAGCATTTAGGTCTTAGAGTGTATACCATTATGGATTAATATATAGGGAGACCCCCAATACTATTTTTAGTCTGAAAAAGAATATTTTATTACCTATAGTAGTTTAAACTCCCAAGGCAGCACGAGTTTTGGAAATCAGTTTTGGACCCTGAAAATGGAGAACAAATAAGAATTACCAGAAAAGGAAACATAAAATCATACCCATCACATAGCTCACCATTGTCCAGAGTTGGAATCCAGGTTTGTAGGTTAGCCAAGTTAAAAAATAAAAATAAATCTACTTAGTCATCTGCAAGAGACTGTACAGTCAACATTTACTTGAAAGCAAAGATGAGAAACTAAAGGAGTGCAAGTAGAAAATGTCAATTAATGGAAACAAGAACAGTCAGAATAGATGTCGTACTGTTAAAAAAACATGTTACTGAAAAAATATGCATTTGTTAAGTGCTCTTGAGTCAACTATGACTCATATGCAACAGAAGTCATTAAATGGCAATCTAGTTTACTGTGTAAATTTTTACCCAAGACTCAATAATATATTGCACACTGACAAAATAAGGATGCTAATCTGTGATGTTGACTAAGTGAGACTTGTGTTATTATCTTATCTCTGGGGAGGAACATTCTTCTGCTTTGTACATCACTCCTTGTCAATTTGCTGTACTGTGGTGATCTGGTTTTGCTGTGATGCTGAACTTTGTGCCATGGGGGTATCAAATACCATAATGGTTTATCAATGTGGATCGTGTTTGATGAAGCTCCCAGATGTAGGACTGGTTTGGAAACAGTTGTGGCATCCACTTCCTAAGCCACATGCCTATGGAAACTCAATGAAGTTGGAGAAACTATGATAGTTATAAAAAGGCATTAGGTCATAGAGTCTCTAAGAGTCATGCTTGACTTGAAGGCAATCAACAACAACAATCTATGATGAAAGTAAGCTGGTGAGAAAAGTATGTCTGTGCCAGCAGTTGGTTTGTAAGTTTCATATACCAGTTTTCTGACTCTTAGCAATCCTCATCATGTTTTTCCTTTCTCCACAAGCTACAAGACATCAGAAAAGAAATTATTGTAGGTAAGTATAAGGATCCAAGAGGGGTGGGAGAGGTTGGAAGCAGAGGGATGAGAATGTTCAGGAGGAGGGGGTATTAATCATGGGGTTGTACAATTTGCTGGGTGGGGGGATAAGAGAAATGGAAAGAATTTGTTCTTTAAAACAATGTATTTGAATTTTGTAAATAAAGTAGTAGAAAATTTTTTTTAAAAGAGGAAAGGTTTTAAGAGAAAGCATGACTATTATTTATCATTCTTCTCTACATCTGAATAAAAGCTAACTTTAAAATACTTAACAATGGCATCAAACACCTAAATAAAAGTCTTCTCAAATCAGAGAGTATTCATCTTTTTGTATCAGTTCTATTAGAAAGTTTGCATCAACTCCAGTATGACCTTCATTTTATTGGATTTGGTAACCTGTGTTCCACCTGCTTTCCTAGTAATCTCAGATGGTCCATTCTGAGAAGCGCAGATGCTGCAGCACATCTAATTACATCACTTCTAGTGAAAACACTACTTTCTAAAATCTATTTGCCCATGGAGTTTACATAGAAGAAAACATACCAATTTGTAAATGGTGAGACAAATAAAATTGGAGGAAGGTGAAATTAAGGACATATGTTTCAATCCGTAAGAGAAAAGACCCCACAGGCCATTTCCCTGAAGATTCCACTTTAGGAAACCCTCTGAGATAGTTCCATTCTTTCATACAGAGCCTCCATTTAAGTCAGATTCTATAGCACACAATAACCTTGTTTGCAGAATTAATATACTGTTAAATCCTCTCAATCAATTTAAAGAATTAGATGATAATTTTTCAAGTTATTAACAATAAATTAATGATTCACTTTACAGTTTTCTGCACTAGAAAAATTGTTTTTAAAGCACACACACTTGGAGAAAGAATGTGTGTGTGTGTGTACACACATAATTCACACTCAGTACCATCAAGTCGGAATCAATTCAAGACTGATCCGTCAGCCAGTTTTCAGAGGCTATAAATCACACAAGAGGAGAATGCCCATATTTCTTAGTCATGGCAGCTGGTGGATATGAACTGCCTCCTTTGGATTGGTAGCACAGTTCCCTAACCAGTAGGTCACCTGGGACTTCGTAACCTTTTTAAATGTGAAATTAGTGATCATTTTTCAGATCTCAGAAAATCATTCCATCTATACCTACAATCAATCGAAATTACTCTGGCATCACTTTAAAGTTATAGGTTTATTGTATTTTCTTGAGATCACTAATAGCTTTGGTGGTAAAGTGCTACAGTGTCATCTCAAAAGCATTGCACAAGAAAAAGGAGTTATTTCCTTCTGTGCAATTTATTACCTCTGAATATCTGCTGGAGAGTCAGGTACTACTCAGTTCTGATCCATTGGTACATAACAGCAACAAAAACTTGGCATTACTCACTATAGAAAATTCTATAGCAAGTATTCTGGGTTTTTTACAATGAGTTGCACAGACCTCTTCTGCAAAGCAGACGTCCTGCTCCTGGGCTTGGCAGCACGTCTCCAAGAGGTTAGAGAAATCTGCAATGACCGTTTCCAATTGTCCCTCTGTTATTTGTGGCTTCTGCTTGACAAGGTTGATGAGAAACCTGTGATTTAAATCACAACAATAGAGAGTAGAAGCCAGCTATAGAATGGTGTTTTTCAACAGTAGGTCTAGAAGAGAACTTTCAGAGTGGTGGCAAACTTCTTAAGTCCTCACTCTAGCATACCACTTACTAAACACACCTTGTCTAATGCTCTTGTCAGAAAGACTGAGGCTGACAACATGCCCAGTGGTCTGCTGATCTAGACTTGTGCACACTGTAAATGAAAAGGCATTTTCTAAATGAAGCTTCATAGACACACGGTCCCTCATTTTATCAGTGGAACATCATAGTTGTATAGTTCTGTTTTGTAAATTAAACTGCAAAGTATCATGGTTCCTCTACAGTTAAATGCTGTGAAATACAGTCCTTTTCTTCTTTGCCTAAAATATCTTCTCCTATTCTGTCTTCTGGAGAATGTCTCATCCATGCTTAAAGACTTGGATCTGTGTCATTTTCTAAGCATCTGACTTTTGTTATTTTCACAACCTGACCTTAATGCTGGAAGTACTATTTGCTCATTTAGTACTATCCATGCTTCTTCCACGGTACAGTTGACTACAGGAATAAGAAAAGTCTGTAGGAGTTGGTGAAATTCTTCACATATCTTCAAATTTGTCTTAGATTTTGATAGATAGATAGATAGATAGATAGATAGATAGATAGATAGATAAAAGAATGTTTTCCAAAATTAAGGAAGATCAGGCTCTACGCAAAGCATGTCGGCATCAACATACATTGGCGTTTACAGAATATGAGTCCCACTGACTTGTGTTAACCACCATCATTATTGTCTCCCATATAGAATTCAAATATGAATAAAAATAACCTTATGCAACCTGGTTAAATCAAACTGCGTGGCTATTATCTTCAAGCATAAATAAAACAAAAGAGTACTAGATGATACATTTCTAGCACTTGGAATGCAAAATACTAAACTTGTTGCCAAGATATACACTATTTACCAAATAGATGATTTGTTTCCCCTCAATCCTACAATGCATTATCGTAGTATTAACAACTGAAGTCCATTTAATAGCATAAAATGGTGTTTTCCAGTGAAGTTTCTCTCAGGCCTACTTCCCATTGAAATTGTAAAAGCACTGGAATAAACTATTTTGAAAGACATATTAAGTGTTTCAGCGGTAATAACATTATAGTAGATCACTCCCAGAGAGTGAGGTATGTAAATGTAAAAGTATCAACCTTTATCTGACCAAATTAGTCTTTCCTCTCCATGCTAATAAATAACCACATCTTACTCTTGCTTCATTGTTTGCAGTGCAACTCCCTGAGCCTGGCATAGATCTTTATGGAAGAGAAACTTGGCAGCAGAGAATGCTGGGGGGATGTATGTCTCATCCACCAACAAGTTGCTGAAGCAGGGTCTCCTGTTGGCATACGAAGAAGCACAGCACTGTCCAACACCAGGATTTACAGGATTCATCTCATGTCTGATACATAATTGTCCAATAATAACATCAGCCTAGTTAAAAGAAAGAAGAGAGGAAGGGGAATGAATGTTAGCCACGACATTGATTCAAGTTCCCAGAAAGCTGTTGTAATAACCTTTAAAGTCCAGTGACATTGTTGTTATTAGGTGCAAGTTGAGTTGCGTACAAATCATCAAGATCCTAAGAACCACAGATCTGAACCCTGTCAATCCTATGCTCACCATCTCTGGTTCACTTGATCCATTGTCACTGTCACTCTGTTCATCTTGTTGAGGGTCTTCCTCTCTTTGGCTGACCCTCCAACTTTCCAAGTATGATATCCCTTTCCAAGAAATAGTCTCTCCTAGCAACATGCCCACACTACTTGAGCAGAAACTTCACTATCTTTCCCTCTAAGGACCACTCTGCCTGCACTTTTTCTACGACATATCTGTTTTCTTGGCATTCTATGGGATATTCAGTTCTCTTCTCCAATATCACAACTCAAAGTCAACAAGTGTTCCTTTATCATTGTCCTCAGCAGCATAGCAAGTGATTGAAAAGAAAATTACTTGAATGAAAGGCATCTTAGTCTTCAAATTGACATCAGTGCTCCTCAGTAGTTTGGAGAGGTCTCTGGCAGTGGACTTGCCATAATACGTAATTAATAATCAAAGAAAATGTACTTTTTCTGTATAAGCTCATATGGTGCCATATTCTAGATTCCAGCTCATTAATTTCCAGAGTTCGAAAACAGTTGTTCTGCCAAAGAAGAATGGGCAATCTCCTCTCGTGCAATTAACTGCCTCTGAAAGCCCACTGATAAGTCAGTTGTGGGTCAGTTCCAATTCTACAGGACCCAACACACACACACACACACACACACACACACACACACACACACAACCTCAACTTGTGGGACAGATATTCCATATGTAGAATTGGACAGATACTTGTGTTTAAATACACATTTTCACTTAGATAATATGGCCAGTGGAATGGAAGGAAAAAGGCTCTGATTTGAACTAAGAAAATTAATGCCTGGTTTACATTTTCATGTAAATCTACAACTAATTCCAATCATAGAATTCACACTTAAAAGAAATAGGGTCAATGCTAATATGTGTCTTCAAAGGGAAACACTTTCTTAATGTAGAATCCTCTTAACCATCTACACTAAAGAGATATTTCTTTAACACCTAATAATAACTTGGAGTCTCTGAGCAAAGTAAGCTGTTAACCTGCTCACCCTGAAAGGTAGGATGGAATGTTTGAGTCCATGTAGAGGTGTCTCAAGAGCAACTCCTGTCAACCTACTCTTGAAAAACCAGCCACAGAAAGAACCACAGAGCCCAGTCTTGCTCTAATATTCATGATGTCATCATGAATCAAGATCAACTTGCTAATGGAAGTATATTAATAGTTTGTAGTAAGAGTTAACATGTTTTGTGAGCTCTTTATCTTACTAGTGCTAAGTGACTTTACATGTATTACCTCCTTTTATAAAAAACCACTCTGTGAGTATCAAATTTATGATGAACAAAACTCAAGCTTAGTGAGATCAACAGCTTACTCAATGTGACAGTATTAATGTAATGGAACTATAGATCAGTGACTTCTAGAACCTACGCTCTTGAACCATAGCAACATCCTTCTTTTTGTTGTTATTTTGTACTGTCTAGGAAGAATTGTTGGAAGCAGGAGTGGCATCTACTTCCTAAACAACCTGCCTCTGGAAACTCTATGAACTTTGATAAATGTCGATAGATGTAGAGGGCTTTAAGGCTTTTGCACATGGGGTCTCTATGAGTCATGCTCGACTTGAAGGCAATCAACAACGGTAAGAAGGTGCGTGTGGTTCGAATCCTCCAGCTGCTCTGTGGGAGAAGGATGGGTAATCTCCTTCCATGTGATTAACTGCCCCTGAAAACCCCCTGGAATGTCAGCTATGAGTTGGTTCAGACTCTACAGAACTGACTCATACTTTGACCTTCCAGTGGGAGCTGCAATCCCAAAAAAGGTGGTTCAAGGCCACCTGCTGCTCCATGGTAGAAAGATAGGCAATCTCCTCCCATGTAATTACCACCTGTGAAAACCCACCAGGGGGGTCAGCTCTGGGTTGGTTCCAACTCTATGGTACACAACAACAACAACAACAGTGAGTTTTCAGGGGCAATAAAAATTATATGGGAGGAGTTTGTCTATCCTTCTCACAAGGATTTGAACCATGTGCCTTTGGGTTGCCAGTGCAATGTCTTACCATCAGGCCAGCGGAGCTCCCTATATCTCCTTATTGTTTTTGTTGTTGTTATGTACTGTCGAGCAGGAACCAATTGGAACCAATTCATAGCTGACCCTCTGGCAGACTTTCAGAGACAGTTAATCACACGAGAGGAGATTGCCCATTCTTCTCCTATGAAGCAGCTGGTGGCCTCGAACTGCATGCCTTCAGAGATTGCAGCACAGCTTTTTGCCACTAGACCACCCTACCTCCTACTTCCCCTAAATCCTTCCAGCATGTGGAATTTAATAAATAATAAAAGTAATGCTTAATCACAGGAAACCCTTTCACTCCTAACGTTTGGTGGAAAATCTCAAGATGTGAAGCCAAACTACCCAAAAGTTTCATCATTGAACATGACTGGGTAGTAGAAGAAATAAAAAATGAAATTAAAAAGTTTCTTGAAACTAATGACAATGAAAACACAACTTGCCAAAACCTCTGGGAAACAGCCAAAGCAGTAATCAGAGGTCAACTTATAGCAATAAGCAAACACATCAAAAGACAGGAAAAACAGA